TGCTCGAGTGTTTACTGGATGTGCGGTATTCTAGTATATAAGACCGCCAAGAAGTGACGGCAACAGTGGGATTGAATTGCAGATAGAGATAGAGACGGACAATTGAGTCAAGCGCGTGAATCAGTCATTGTGAATTATAGCGTTTGTTTAAGTTAACTGACTGTAGGAATTAAGTGTATTGCAAAGTTGCATTGAGAAAGAATAAACTAGTTTTATTTAAAGAAGGACTTGTATTGCTGAAGTTTTTCGAAAAGTATTTCTACGGAAAATTAACAAACGAACAGAGACGTAACAATATGCAGCATAAAGAAACATTCTCTGTAGGCAGAGGGCTATATCTAAAGAACAACAAAGAAATAAGGGTAATTAGAATAAATTATGTTTAAAGTTTTTTTTGGACCGCATGTTATGTAAAAACTGCATGGACTCGGAATAAAATAATTTTTTGAAAATTTCTACATTAAAGCAAGAAAGAAAAAAATGCATGGTATGTTTTCATACCACAATTTTCTTCTCTTTATGTTTCAGGCTTATCTGACAATTAACTTTAAACTTGCGACATGGTCAAAAGCACATTCATTTTCTACTTTCTATTCCTCTTGTAAACGTTTCCACAAAATATGGACAACATAACTCTCAAACAAAGAGCTACAATTCAAACATAAACAGTCACGAACCCTTTATTTCAAAATATACTGTAATGCACAATGAAGAAAAAGAAAAGCCTTGTTAATATATTAATGGAAAAAATGAAACACTTTTAAGCAATAAAGTTAAACTATGACAAGATATATATATATTACATCAATTTTATATAGATGGTCAAACCAGCACTATATAACACTGATGGGCATTGAAGGAAGGTACATGTTAAGAACAATTTTAGCAAAGAATATCTACCTCTTAAAGCTGGCCAACGTAGTTGTTTGTATATCATACTTAGTTTTGATTAAGGCCCTTTAGGTGTCAGCCATCTCAGCCCACAAATGGCACACCTTTTTCTTAAAGCATGACAGAGATGTTATTCTTGACCATCCATATCCAGGCGATTGAGAGATGAACCAAACACAGAAGAGAACTACTGGCCAGTCATCTCCAACATGCTGGTTAAACCAAGCCTGCAAGTAGCTCAACTACAGGTAACCACTCCTAATCCAACAATGGCACCCATGAAACAGATGTTTGTGATACTAACTACATGCAAGTTCTAGCTCATGGTGTATCTTGTCAGAGGGTGCCTGACGCCCAAGCAGTGCAGGTGCCAGATGTGTACATGTCTCTTGTGAGACTATTACATTCCTAAACCTAAAATACTTTTCTGGAGCTACAGTATTCTCAAATAAGTGCTGGGTGTATCTTAGCAAGCTGTTACCGAAAGTTCACGCAGAAACCATGGTCATACAAGCAGTAATGGCAGGAATCAATAAGGTGAACATTGGTGTACTATATCCACCACCACTATTCTCTCTACCACCAAGATGATCCAAGGAGCCTCCACCTCGATGACATTCAAGCTACCAATTCTCAAGAGGTCCCATGACCAGACAGCCAAGAGTAGATTTCCTGCTCACTCTGCCAATCATCATCACCCATCAACATTCTACATCAGATCCCAATATTGAAATGGCATTGTCACGAGGTAGCCACAAAGTATAGTGAGACTTGGGCCCTGTACAACGGGGAGGAGGACCAGCTCAGACAATAACCAACACAATCATCCCAGCAAGAGGAAAAAGTCTGTCAGATGTGGACTACGCTGACCCATAAGATCATCAGGGTGACCACTGTGGCCAGTAAGTGATCGTCCACCATTTCAGAGGATTTGTTATTGAGTTTGAGGTGAGAGCAAGTGAAATCAGGCCTCGCAGCTACCATAACTATGTGTATATTTGGCACATTTTTTGCATTTTAGTGTATATTTTTATACCGTATATGTAACTCTGTGTGCTAAAGTGCATGTTTTGTAGAAAATATTTATCTGCATTTTGTATTCTTTTTCTACTTATTATTTAATTTTTTTTCTACTTTCGTTTTCTTTACTTTTTATTATTTTTGAAAAGTAATACTAGTCAACTTCTACATATTTCGCTATGAATTGTAATGCGTTTTGGTTTTCTGCTTTAGAATTATTAATTTTCCAGTGTATCTCTTGTAGTTTTTATGACTATGATTATACTGTATGTTAAAACCGTTTGTTTTCCTTATTTTATAACTGTTATTGTATAATGTGTTAAATAGCTCATTTTTATATAATGTTTGGATCTTAGTATGTTGTGATATTTTTTTGGATATGGCTTATTTTGTACTATGATTTTATGTAAAGGGGTAATAGTATGTTTTAATTTTATTTTACACTTCATTTTAATGAATTTTGTTTGAATTTAAAGATTATTTTGATAAGTTTTACTATATTCTAATATGCTTTTTTAAGAGTGCCTTTGCTAATGTATATATATTTTATATAATAGTTCATTTTCTAGCAATGCTGTTGTTTGGTGTTCTATATTTCATTATTATTATGTGAAAATTGATATTTTATTTTGCACTTTTGTTTGTGTAAGGGGTTTATTTCGTATTTTGTATTTTAAGTCAAAAGTTTTTAAGTTATTGTATCTGTGTTAACGGATGATTTACTATGTATTATTACTTTGTGAAATCATTAGTTGTCGAAATTTATCTTTTGGTTGTTTTTAGTTTTGTTTACTTTTAGCACAAACTACACAAAGAGCTATTTCTGCTCTGTTCATCATGGGTATCGAAACCTGTCTTTTTAGAGAGATAAGTCTGCAGACTAACCACTGAGCCACTAGTGTAGGAGGGGGTCGTTTTATCATTGTTAAAAGACATTTTGTTCTATGTCACATACTCATTGAACTGTATCTGATGTTGTAAAATTATATATACAAAAGCATTGTTGGGGGTTTTATTTGTAATCTGAATATTTTTTTTTAAAGGGCTGTGTCATTTATGTTGCCATGTAAGTAGTTTTACAGAGACAAGAAAAAGTCACATCACTTCTTGACTTATGCACTTTGTCAGATTTTTAAGGATATGGGGCTAGGATCATTTACAGTAGGTGTTTGTTACTTGTTGGTGATAAATTCAAACAATAAACGGACAGCACACAATCCACTTGCTTTAAAATAATATATTCAAAACAAGTTAAATGTATGTACAAAAATTATTTACACGATACGATATCACACTTGTATCTAAAACTCTAAATAATTATCTTTTCTTGTCAAAAGTCCACACAGGCTGATTCAATTACTTTAGAATCTAATTGATAAGACGATTTCTTTTTCTCCACTCTTATCACAATGGTATAAGTGAGTAATTCACTTATGTTACCCCATGGGTTACCACAGTTGTATCCTGAACTTTAAATAATTGTCTCTTTTTTTGTCAAAGTCCACACAAACAGGTTCAATTACTTTAGAACACCCTTTGACCAATCAAATTATTCTCCTTATCTCTATTAAACTGTGAACCTCACTTTAAATATTGCCCATTATCGCTAAGCAAAAATCACGCAATCTAATTTCACTTCCACTAACTTTATGTTTTTTCACTGAACATTATTTGACTTTTCTGACTTAACTTCTTTAGAAGTCATCCGTCATAGCTAAATTGCAAATCACTCAGTCTAGATCTGTTTAATTATCTTCCACTTAACTTGACTTTTCTATACTAAACTTGCACTCACTATTCATCTGTATATATACTCTATTCACTGAGACCTCGAACTTTTTATAAACTACACGACGCTATAATGGAATAATACTCACTTACAGTAACGAGAAAAATACCGAAAATTCGAGCAATGTGACGTCAACAATATTACCAAAGCCTAATACAACAATCTAACTGCATACACAACTTAAGACTCGTACATAGTTACATAACAAAATTTTTCACAACTAATGCTTTTATAA